GCTTATTTTGTATTTATTAAATTCTGTTGTAATTTTTGTGTGTGTGGAATGTATTTGATTTGTAGAACTTAACTAAATGAATATATATTTCATCCTACAGTAGGCCAGTTCATTTGGGGCATTGGGTGGGGGCAGAGTTAATCACTGCTGGAATAAAACCAGAATAATATTAATTACGGTATATGATCCGTGGAAAGTGGATTTGGAAATGCATAAATTGTTGTATAATAAATGCTTTAAATGTTGGAATTTAATAAAACTTTATTTACTTAGCAAAAAAATGCCTTTAATGCCCATTTATTTTGTACTGGTATTTCTTGTAGCAGTTCACACTGAAGAATTTTAACACGCTCATTCTATTTTTGCCAGCAAAAAACAACTGACTGTAAATCTGACTTAGTTTTGGAAAATCTGACACCCTCACTGCTAAATGAGGCATAGATGAAAGTGGTAAAGTCACTGTTAAGCTTCCCAGTGCCTGCTTTTATGAAGGTGTATGTGCCGAAGGGGATGAGAGGCAGAGAAAAGAACCACTATAATGGTAGAGAAAGAGTACAGTTGTTGGGTTTGGTTTTTTTGGGGGCTGTGCTGTGCTGGGTTTTCATGGCAAGCGAGCAGCAGGAGTGGTTTGTGGTTCTCAGTTTTGATGCATGCACTTGTTGGGTGGAGAAAAAGCCCTGGAAGAGCTATTCTGGTTTTGCATGGTCGTTATTAGAGATGCTAGACATAGGCACACGTGGAGGGGTTTGCTGAGGATTTATATTTCACGTTACTAATTTTTCCAAATAAGGAGGGAAAAAAACCTCCACTGTTCTATCAATTTGAAGAATGAGATTCTAGGACCTGTTAAATGGCTGATAGATTGATGTGCCAGAACTATGATTTATTTTTTTTTTCCTAAGTTGAGAGAAGTACACATTAGAAAACATGGGAAGAGCATTAAAGTTGCAAAACTAAGTACTTGATTTAAGCAAGGACAAATGCTCTGGTTCCTCTGTTTTGCACATGTGTGTATAAGATGCAGCCTTATATCATTGCCTCTGAGGGCTTGAATTTTTGTCTGGCTGGTACTATGGTTTGGTATAAAGATCCAAAACAGTTAGTAGTCAGTTTGCTTACCAAAGTGGAAGCTTTGCTGCCCCATCTGCTATGAACAAACAGGGAATATTCTTCTGTATATCAGAATGTTATCAGAAGAATATTCCAAATATTCTTCTGTATATCCACAACCATGAATATTGACCAAGTCAGACAAATTGATGGTAATTTGTTTTTGTCATGAGCCCTGCACTAGCTGTAAGGAAGAGCTAGAGTCGCGCGCAGACAATAGAGAAGTCCTGCATGATTATGAAGGGGAGTCTGTTTACAGTGGGCAGTGAGTTAAATCAGAATAAGTACCAGGGAAGCTTCCCCCCCTGCCTCCACCATATCATACCATGTACATATATTTATTACAATATTTTCATATTATATACTCGTAAGTGTGTAGAAGGTGGTTTACAGTTACATTTGCAGCTTTAAATAGTAACTGAATCAGTGGCCACTTTCATAATGAATACTTTCTTTTCTCTGTTTTAAGAAATCCCTCTTTTGCTGCCAGAGATGTCTGTGCCCTGAAAATGGAGCTGTGGGTTCATTGTGCAGTGTCTCAGCACTGAAGTGTCTTTGCCAAAGGCCCCTGTTGTGGATAGTGTGAGTAAGGGGGTTAGAATTCTCTCTCATAGGGGAGCAGCAGCTGCTGGAATCATCCTTCTTTACTTCCAGGACTTAGCTAGTTCTATTTGGAAGGTGAAACTAAAAGCACTGTATGTGTTTAGGAAATCACATGCAGCCATCATGTGCAATGCTTTACACTCCCTTCAGTCTTCCAGTTCTTCTTGCCCTGCCAGCCCAGGGCTGTATGTTTTCTGTTGTGTGTGAAACAAGCACTTTCATTTGTTTGCTGTTTGCAGAATGCAGTGTGCATGTAAGATGCTTTCTACAACTTTATTTCAGGTTTACTGTGAGGACTGTGACTTTATCACAGTTGCAACACACTGTAGTTATCTCCTCCCTGGAGTCTGTAGTCCTCTAATGTTTGTTCTGTTATCACACTGAGTTGCTCCTTTTAATGACAGTCTAGGGTTAGGCAGGTTTACTTAGTAATTTCTTCCTCCAGATTTTAGCAATGTAGGTGGTTTCTTTTGTTTGTTTTTTACTTTGTACCCTATCCTTTATTTGTACTCCTGTCCTTTTGGTCTGTGACACATTAAACTGACTCCTTTATTCTGTCCCGTTGCATAAAGAATATACTCTTGGTTGGCAGTGTTGTCCAGCTATTGGTCAGGAGTCTTGATGTTTGCACCCTTGTGCTTACACCTGCCTATTGCACGTCACTTATTCCTTTCACTTCACTTTTTCTGTAGTACAGATTTACAGTGAAATTGTTCACCAGGTAACAGGAAAAAAGTGGTTGCATGGGAAAGTTCTTCAAAACTTTGTAGTCTGTTGGTCCCTACTTAACATTTGGGCATACAGTGATAGTGTGGTAGTGGTTGGCTCTTGTGCAGTTGGGGGACACCTTGAGTTGTATGATGGCATCTCTGTTGCCTCTCAGATTTCGTCACTTTGGCTTCATCCAATCACGGATCAATGAAAGGTCAACCAAGGGATCAGACCAGTCAGCATGGGTTTACGAATGATAGATCCTGTTTGATTACATTCTGTAACAAGGTGACCAGCTTAGCGAATGAAGGTAAGGCTGTCAATAGCCTCTATCTGGACTTCAGTAAAGCCTTTGACACTGACCCCCACTACATCTTCATGGAGAAGCTGACTGCCCAGGGTTTGGATGGGCATATGCTCTGCTGGGTGAAACGCTGGCTGGGTGGCTGGGCCCAAAGAGTTGTGGTCAATGGAGTTAAATCCAATTGGTAGCCAGTCATGTATGGTGTTCCCCAGGGCTCGGTACTGGGGCCACTCCTATTCAGTATCTTTATCAGTGTTCTTGATGAGGGCATTGAGTGCACCCTCTGTCAGTTTGCAGATGATACCGAACTGGGAGGAAGTGTTTATCTGCCAGGAGGTTGAAAGGCACTAAAGTGGGACCTGGATAAACTGAATCGATGGGCCAAAGTAAACTATATGAGTTTCAGTAGGGCCAAGTGTCAGGTCATGCATTTTGGTCTCAACAATCCCAGGCAGCCCTACAGGATTGGGGAGGAGTGGCTGGAAAGCTGCCTGACAGAAAGGGACCTTGGTGCACTGATGGACAGTCAGCAGAATATGAGCCAGCAGTGTGCCCGGGTGGCCAAGAAGGCCAGTGGCATCCTGGAGTGGTGTGGTGAGCAGGACTAGGGAAGGAATCCTGCCCCTGGACTCGGCGCTGGTGAGGCCTCACCTCATGTACTGCATTCAGTTTTGGGTACCTCAGTACAGAAAGGACATTGAGCTGTTGGAGCAGGTCCAAAGAAGGGCAGCAAGGCTAGTGAAGGGCTTGGAGAATATGGCCTATGAGGAGAGACTGAAGGAATTGGGGCTGTTTAGTCTGGAGAAAAGGAGGCTGAGGGGAGACCTTATTGCTCTCTTCAAATACCTCAAAGGTAATTGCAGCAAGTGCAGGGCTGGTCTCTTCTCACTGGTGACAGGATGAGGGAAAATGGCCTCAAGTTGCACCAGGGTAAGTTTAGGTTGGATATCAGGAAAAACTTCTTTACAGAAAGGGTTGTTAAGCGCTGGAATAGGCTCTGCAGGGAGGTGGTTGAGTCACCATCCTTGCATGTGTTTAAAAACCATTTGGATGTGGTGCTCAGGGACATGATTTAGTGCAGGGTTGTTAGAGTTTGGGTAGTATGGTTAGGTTGTGGTTGGACTTGATGATTTTTAAGGTCTTTTCCAACCTTGGTGATGCTATGATTCAGTCAGTTTGCTAATTGTTAAACTCCGTTCTTTGTGTGAGGTAGGCCAAGGTTCACCTGTTCCAGATTAAAACAAGTCAGTGCCCTATAAAAGGTTTGAATTTATGCTATTAAAAGGTGTGTTTTGTTTATAGTAATGTATTGTCCAATGAAATATGGGCTATGTTGGTTTGACTTCTGACATATTTCTGATAGGCACAGGAAACTAACTGATTAACAGTTATTAACCTTAATTTTCACTTCATAAATCCCTACTGACCTATACTGAAAGGTCAGAGATGGTACTGGAGACAGAACTGCCAAAGATATGTGATGAAAGTGTGAGATGCAAGATGGTAGGGTTTATAAAAATAAAAATTAAAGGTTCTTAAAGGCATGGCGCCATGCACTTAATAAAAATCTGTCTTCCTGTCCTTTTTGTTTTTTGCAAGTTACTTGAAATAAAAGAAGTACTGCTGTTGTTCCCAGCAGTTTGAGTACTAATGAATTTAGGCTCTTAAGGGGTAATCCTAGTGATCTTGAAGTTAAAGTATGTTTCTTTTGTGTCAGAGGTGCAGATTCTTCTGCTGAATTTTCCTGCTTCTTTTAAATTTGCCATGGGGTAAATGTTTTAGGTGTGCTTAGCTGGAAAAGTATTGAAAGGAGGACTGTCTCTAAAAATGACTAATCTTCATTGATTTATATCAATATGTAAATTCTTCAGACTGATCTAGCACAATATACATGTACTACTAAATAAGCTTTCAGTCCTGCTTCTATCCGTGCCATGGAGCACTTAGAGCATGGTATTTGTTCCTCGAAAGCTCCCAATTGGCTTTTGTTTCTAGTGTGACACTGAGTTGGGAATCAGTTGTATTTTCCAAAACCTCAGTGAGTGAAGTGTGTTGGCACTCCACAAGTTGGTAAATCTCCCCTATCGAATTAGTCATCACTTGCACTGCAAAATGTGTTACTGTGTAAAGATAGCACTATGCACTCAATTGCTGAAAGTGGAGAATACACATGGTATCTTTTTGTGTAGTGGTGGACTGTTCTTCATGTCTCTCATAGCAGAAAAAGTTTACATTGTATAACTTTTAAAACTTTCCTTTTGTTTGTACGCAGAATATACCGCAGAGGACTTTTGGGATTGATTATGGCTGCAACTGCTTTGTCAAGGATGGGCGCCCTTTCCGTTACATCTCTGGCAGCATTCACTATTCCCGGGTGCCCCGGTATTACTGGAAAGACCGCCTCTTGAAGATGAAGATGGCTGGGCTGGATGCAATTCAAACGTAAGTAGCTGCTGATTTTCAAAATTATTTGTAGTCCTGGGAGACCCAAAAGAAGTAGTGATGGGGGAATGTTGCCGTTGTTACTTTTTAAATTAAATAGCTTGTTTTTTAAGTAGTAGGTGAGAAATCTCTTGAAATGAAAAGTGGAACATGATGACCACCTTAGCATGGTCTGGGATGATAGCAGCTAATAGTCTGCTTCTTTGCTATTCAGCAATGCTTACTGCTTCACAATCCAGGATGCAAATGTGACCTGAGACAAATAGTTGGACTGTGAACTTTGGCAACTAAGAAACAGATAATCCTGTCATCTGCCAGAGGATATCATAATCTCGTGCTGAGAGGCAGGCTAGGTGAGAGGTGACAGTAAAGTCTTAATTACAGTTTAGATTGTGTTGCCCTGAAGACTTGAAAATTTAGGCAGAGGCTGTAGAGATATGTATAGCTATTTCACCAGGAGTGTTTAAATTTAGGGAGATAGCTGTGAAATAAGAGCAGTACTTAAAAAAACAAACAAAAAACACCAAACAAACAGAAAAAACAACAGAAACAAACTCAACAGTCAGTTGTGTCTACCAAACCTTCACTCCATGTCCTCTCTCTTTCATGGCAAGGAAAGAGGAGTTGGCAGAAAAGTGAATATGCACAGTCTTTTCAAGTGATGGTTGCAATTACCATGTGTGGTTTTATTTCTTTTTTAAACCATTACGGGGCTTGGAGCATGTCTTTAAAACTGTCTCCTTTTTTGCTGTGGGCCATTGAACAATGTTGGCTTTGGCAGCACAGAGCCTGTTGTTTGGGGTGGTTTGTTCAGTGGGAGCACTCTGCTTTTTCTCTCTGAAAACCTGTGTCTTGTTTAATCTGTGAGTTTCAGGGCTACTTTGTGCACTTAGTAGTTTGATTAGCAAGGGTTGATATGTGAAGAAGAGCTGGAGAGGTAGCAAGGAGGGAAAAGAAGGTAGGGTGGGTTTTTTTGTTATTTTTTTGTTTTTCACTTGTAGCTTTCTTTTTTTTTTTTTCCTCCTCATAAAACTTCACTGTGCTGTGATAATGTGGTGACTTTGTTTCTTCATTTTGATTAAACCAAGTAAGCACATTCTGTCTTCCCACATAAATGAATGACTGGATTAAATAACACACTTGCTCAGGAATCTCAGGACAGAGTTGCAGGAAATGCCGATGTGAATATTTTTTACTGCAATAAAGGTATTCTCAAACAGACCTGAAAATTATATCATCTGATACCTGGTTTGAAAATTAGCCTAGGTCCTAACAGTGGCTCTGTAACTCCTATGACCCAAAGTATGTTATACTTCCCTTAGTTCTTGGATTTATTTTCATCTTACTGCTAACCCCCATACACCTTCAGTGCTCTCACTTCTTTTCCAGTTTTTTCAAGCAGTTTCTTCCTTCTGTTTTTTTTTCCTGTTGCTTTTTTTCATTGCTTCCTTCTTCCTCCTCTCATAAACTCTAACACAAGTGTTTGGGGTGGTACTTTTGGGTTCTTCCCTCTTCCATTTTCCCCATTTTTTTGCTTGTTGGGATCTTTTATTCCTGTGCTTTATTCAAAGCATACTTCTGGTATACAGGAAGGACTGGCCTCTTGGTGTTAGGGTCTTCAGGACTGTTTATGTTCAGGTACAAAAGATATGATACAGCTGTGTTTCCTTGAGAAAATGTGACGTGCTGCAGCCTTCGCTGTTTTTAGTGGATCATTAATTACAGGGGGAAAAAAGCTTATCACAACCTCCTTTCCACTGTACAACAGTTTGGAATTTATTTATATTTTTCTCCCAACATTACTTACCTATGGATTTTTTTTCTGCTATGGTGAAAATAGGTCTCAAATGTGTATCTTACAGGCAAAAGATACTTCAGAGCCCTGCATATTCTATAAGAATCAAATACATAAATCTCACCATTTGACACTAATGTCTCTCTATCCCTCTCTTAAAAAAATAAAGATGTTTTTTGGCTGTGCTTGCAGATATAATCAAGCTGTACAGCTCTTGATTATTTGATATGAAGCTATAAATTTCCACATTACTCCAAATAGCTCTGCTGCGATTTTGTGTATTTTGAATAAAATGATTATTATTTAGTTGTGTTTCTGTCTTTTTCTTTTCCTGCTTACTGTTCTGGGAATAAGTGAAAGTATTAGCAAGAGACTGAGATACTAGTTGCATGAAATCATTCTGGGACAGGCAGCAGCAATGCCAGATGTTCTGGCAGAATGTGGCTATAGGACGCCCTATGTTTGAGCTACCTTTTAAGTCTTTCACTGGTTGGTGTTATTCCATCCTACCTGGTCTTGAACTCTTCTGGGGCTGGGACATCCACAGCTTCTCTGGGCAACCTGTTCCACTGCCTCATCATCCTCTTTGCGAAGAATTTATTTCCAGCATCTAATGTAAATCTACCCTCTATTGGTTTATAACAGCTCTTGTCCTATACCTACCTCCACCAGAGGGAGTGCCTCTCCAACTCTCCTGTAGGCCCATTTAGGTACTGAAAGGCCACAGTCAGGTCTCCCCAGAGACTTCTCTTCTATGGTCTGAACAAACCCAACTCTCTTAGCCTGCTAGCTCCTTCAGCCTGTCTTATTGGAGAGGTGCTTCAACCCTCTGATCATCTTTGTTGCCCTCCTCTAGACCTGAATATTTTAAGCAGTAACAGAACATGAGAGGATATGAGATCATTTGAGAATATTGTAGGAAGCCTGACCTTATGTTAAAGCTGAAAATATTGACATCTAACCCTTCCAAATAGCAGATTGAAATTTGATTATGTGGTGTGACATCCCAGAAGATGAGGTATTACGCCTAGGAACCCCCTCTCTGCTCCCCTCTGCATGCTACTTGCAGAGACATCTGGTCACCCAACTGTAATTGTCCTTGTTTTCAGTTACTGAACTATGATATGTGAACTAGAAATGGGTACAGTCACAAACACCCGGGTAGAACTGAAAGTTGTAGGCTTTATCATGGAGGAGATAAACAATTAACCACTAGATGGAGCTAAACATTTACAGGACTGTAGAAATTGAGAAATTTCGTGGAAGAATTAGCAGTTACTTAAAAGTTCAAAGAAACATATTTATTAGGAAAGGAAAACACCTATAGAAATTCCATGTAGGAAAGAACTGCTGTTTAGAATGTCTTTGCATTAAAAAAGAAGAACCAAGGAGATTCTCTGTCATTCATTGGATGCAGCACAGAAGGTTACCACCAAGGACAAGGAAAAGGCTGAGGTACTCAGTGCCCTCTTTGCTTCTGTCTTTAGCAGTCAAATCACTTATCTGCAGGGTTCTCAGCCTTCTGAGCTGGAAGACTAGGATGGGGAGCAGAATAAAACCCAATAATTCAGAAGGAAACAGCAACCTATTACTCCACCTAGACTATCACAGATTTATGGGGCCAGGTGGGATCTACCAGAGGGTACTAAGGGAGCTGGTGGAAGTGTTTGCTAAGCCACTTCCTGTTGTTTGTTGGCAGTCCTGGTCAACCTGGGAAGTCCCAGATAACTGGAGAGACATCCTTGTAGAAGGAGGATCCAGGGAACTACTAACCTGCCAGCCTGACCTTAGTATTGGGAAAGGTCTTGAAGTAGATTGTTTTGAGAGTGAGCACACAGCATGTGAGAGACAGGCAGGTGATTAGGCCTAGCCATCATAAGTTAGTGAAATGCAGGTCCTGCTTGACCAACCTCATCTCATTCTATGACCAAGTGACCCACCTAGTGGATGAAGGAAAGCTGTGGGTATCCTATACTGTACTAGATTTTAGTAAGGCCTTTGACTCTTTCCCCCACTATTCTCTTGGAGAAACTGGCAGCCCATGGCTTGGACAGATGTACTCATAGCTGTGTGAAAAACTGCCTGAGTGGCTGGGCCCAGAGAGTGGTGGTGAATGGAGTTAAATCCAGCTGGTGACCAGATGGATCTTTATTGATGATCTAGACAAGGGGATTGAATGAGCCTTCAGTATGTTGGCCAATAACACCAAGTTGGGAGGAAGTATTGAGTTGCTTGAGGGTGGGAAGGCTCAACAGAGGGATCTGGATTGTCTGGATTGATGGGCTGAGGCCAGCTGTAAGAGGTTCAATAGGATGAAGTGCCAGGCAGGTCATGGACTTCAGTCACAACAACCCCAGGCAACGCTACAGGCTTTGGGCAGAGTGACCTAAAATGCACATGCCAGAAAAGCATCTGGGAGTGCTAGTTGACAGCCAGCTGAACATGAGCCAGCAGTGCGTCCAGAAAGGCCAATGGCTTCTTGGCTTGTATCAGAACTAGCGTGGCCAGCAGGAGTAGGTAAATGATCATCCCTTTGTACTTAGTTCTAGTAAGGCTGTATCTCAAGTACTGTGTTCAGTTTTGGGCCCCTCACTACAAGAAGGACATTGAGACCTTGGAGCATGTCCAGAGAAGGGCACTGAAGCTGTGAAGGGTCTATAGCACAAGTTTTATGGGGAATGGCTAAGGGAGCTGGGATTGTTCAGTCTGGAGAAAAGGAGGTTTGGAAGAGACCTGATCGCTCTCTACAAACACCTGAAAGGAGGTTGCAGCAGGTGGAGGGGTAAGGGGGGGGGGGTCAGCCTCTTTTCCCAGGTGAATCTGATATCACTAGAGAGAATGGCCTCAAGTTGCACCAGGCAAGGCTTAGGTTGGATATTAGGAAACATTTGTTCTCCAAAAGAGTGGAAGGCACTGGAATAGGCTGCCCAGGGAGATGGTGGAATCATTGGCTCTGAAGGTTCAGTAAGTGTGTAGAAGTGGCCCTGAGCAATGTGAGTAGTGGGCATGGTGATGATGGGTAGACTGTTAGACTAGATAATCTTAGAAGTTTTTTCCAATACTTAGTGTTCCATGAAAAAAAAACCACAGTTTGCTTTTTCTAAAACTCATGTAATTCAACTAGTATGTGTAAAGTGCTGTTTTGTTACTTATGAAAGGAGTACAAGCTGTTTAATTTTATAAAGGGGGGGGGAAACACACAACACAAGTATTACGGAGAGAATTATACTGTGTTTTGCAGTGGCAGAACTGTTGTTGTTTTGCCTATTGATGTATTTCTGAAATAGGAGAAAAAAGTTTCAAAGAAAAAGAAGGTTATGGGCTAAAGCTTACAAATTGTATGTAAGTGGAAATTAAATTTCATTATTCAAATATGGAAAAAATACTGAGCTTCAAGTTTGAAAAAGGAATGTGGCATTTCTTTATACGTTCGTTATTCTTACAGTAGTAAGAACCATCTATTTATACAATGGCATATAGAAATCATACTTTGCTAATGCTAATAATTTTGAAGTTAAATGATTTGAAGTCATTGCTAGCTGTAGAAAATAAATTCATGGATTTGAGTGTATTAGGATTTTTAAAGCAGTCAAAGATGCTTTTATATTATCATTCATTTTTTAAGAAATGAATTTCAAATAAGAAAGCATTTCAAATACATTTTTCTCTTAACTTTCTTTACTAATTTTTTTTTTTAGCCATGTGAGGCAGCATGGGACATAAAATTGTGTCTGGAAGAACTTTTCAACTTTTTTCCATTCTGACTATAAGGGATCTTGTGAAACCCTCATCCCCATCTCACTATGTTAGGTGTTCAGATTTATTACCAGGACAAGTTCCTAAAACCCTCCAAGGAGCATATTTTCATAAATAACAGGTTTCAAGGTGTAGCTAAATTACAGTTAGAATGCTTTTGTTACATGAACCTATAATTTCCTTATCAGTAGGAATAGCTTATGGGGCAGCCTGAGGAGAAAGGACTACAAGCAATTATTGTTTTTCTGTAGCACTCTTTCAGACAATGAGAAACTTACAGTGAAGTTAATACCAAGTCATCTTTATTTAGCTCAAACAGGGGTATTTTTTCAGGGAATGAATTGCTGCATAAGCATGCTGCCTGTTAATGTAACCCAGATAGAGTTGTCTCTTTTGCAGTGCTGATGATTTGTAGTCATGTGGTAATTTACAGTAGAACCTACACACCTTTTTTTTCTTCTGTTAATGCCATTCTGTTAATGTCATATGTCCTTTTCATTTTAAATTTTTATCTTTGCCTTTGCAAGGGAGAAGAAGAAAGTGATAACTCTTAATTTTCATGTTGATATCAGGTCATGTTGCTGATTAATCACAAACATGTGGAAACTTGAACATGATTGCTGATGGACTTCCACCTGCCCCACCTTTGCCAATCAGGTGGCAACAAAAGCTTTGGATATAGCTTGACTTAACAAAGAAACATGGCATATTTCTCAAAATATCCTGCTGCCTGCCCAAAGAATTTGTGGTTCTTATGCTTCAGTTAATTTTTGTTCTTTGTTAATGTTAGATCAACTTACCTGTTTTTGGTTTTTTTTTTTGCTTGTTTGCTTCTAGGAATGTCATCCATCACACTACCAAAAGCCTTGCTAAGTCAAGAGACATCATCTTTTTTTTTTTTTCTTTTTCTCTCCCCTAGCTGTTTAGGCCAGTGTTACTTTGAAAGAATGAAACTAGATATATCTGTCCTTGGCAAATCTAGTTTGTTGTGTTTCTTTTTTTAATCACATCATGACATGAATCATGCTGTAGCTTTTCTGGTACCTTTCCTAAGCTTGGAGTCAAATTGGCATGTTATTTTCTATAATATTCTTTCCTGCTATTCCCTTTCTTTTTTTGTAAGGAAGATATCATCTCGAGCCACATATATGTAATACAGAAGAATGGTTCTGACAGTAACATAGCTGTTAGTGCTTAAAGCAAACTCAAGTTATTTCTGCAGTGGTAATCAGGATAAAGGTATATTGAAAAGGGAAAGCAAGCACAGTATGATACTCTACTGTATTGGCCTTTTTGAGGTATGTTGGTTTTTTTTAATAGTAATTTACTTTATCTACTTTGATTTTTAACCATCTCTGATCAGCTTGCTTCTCTGCTTGAAACACAGGCAAAATACACAAAACCAAATTAACAATTAATGTATTTTAGTGTGGTTTACATATTCACCAAATACGTGTGTGCTTTGTTCTAAGAAGTGAGTTAATTGAGCACTTTGGAAGCAGTTTCATCAGATTGACAAAGAAATCAAATATATAGTGGAGGGAGGAAAATCTGCATTTTGCTGTCTGTTGAATATGTTGCTTAGACTCTATCCTGGCATACAAATTTTAAGCTTTTGCTTTTCAAACAGAGATTTGCAGTTTGGCATTTGTGAGGAAATAAAACTAACTACCATTTCTGAAGCATTATCATATTGCTTTTTTTTAATCTGTTCATTTGCATGTATTTCCGATTCCAGTATGATCACAGGTGATTGAAATAAATGTGTTCATGTGAGGGTTCCTGTTTTTTCTTTGTTATTGAAAGCAATGTTTTCTACATTCTCTTTTCCTGTTGGGGTAGTTCTTACCAGGTTAACACTGAACATGAAAACAAACCCAAGCAACAAAGGTGTTGCTGGAGAGGCTCTTTGCTTGGCTAACCACAGTTTTGGTTTTACACACTTTCTCAGATTTGTACTCTGGAACAGCAGCACCACTTCTATTAGAGGAATCACAAACCTATGTGCAAAAAGTAAATGCATGGAGAAAGAGTTTTCCTGTTCTCTCAAATCCTTATCTAGGCTGTATCAATCTCTGATTTTAATGTCTGCCTCTGCTACAGCTGCCACTTAGCGCTGGGCTAAGAGACAACTCGGGGTTGTTCTGCATGGGCTGTAAGCTACAACAGTGCTTGTAATAGTTGGTAGGTAACAAATATCTTTATTACTCTGCAATCAAGAGATTGTTTGTTTTTTTTTCTTCCGTCTTCTGGGAGAGATTCTGTGATGAGGTGGCAGTTTCCTACGTTCTGGAAGTAGGAGAGAAGTGTGGCAAACGTTGATCTGCTTGTTTGGCAGTTTTATTACTGCATTGAAATAGGGCTCTATTATTTTCCTAATGTCAGATTATCTCCTCTCTTTATAGGTATGTACCATGGAACTACCATGAAACCCAGATGGGCGTGTATGATTTTTCTGGTGACAGAGATCTGGAGCATTTCCTGCAGCTTGCTAGTGAAACTGGCTTGCTGGTGATCCTAAGAGCTGGACCTTACATCTGTGCAGAATGGGACATGGTACAGCCTTTTGTAACAGTTACTTTGTTTGTAGGGTAAATATAATGCAAGGATTTCTGTCTTAGAGTAGAAAAGGGTACTTGATGTATCCTCAAAAAGACTTCTGGTTCACTGTATTTAAAACAACGTATTCTGACTGACTTTCTACAGTGCAAACTTAAGTAATAGTTGTTTTGCTTATATAAAAATAAATCTGCAAGTTCAGTATATGTTTTGATAATAGACTAACTTCCTCTTATTTCCTGAAAGTGGTCACTGAAATGGTTCCAATTCTTTTCCCAGGGTGGTCTTCCAGCATGGCTGTTGGAGAAGGAATCTATTGTTCTGAGATCTTCTGATTCAGGTAAGGGCATCAGAAATGTCTGGCAAAAATATTCTTCAGCAACAAGGTGGCTTACTGTTTGAGGTTATTTCCAGGTAATTCATATTGACATATTTCTGTTAAAAACTATGCACTCAATAAATATGTATAGCAAACAAGGAGGGATCGAAAATCATGTACCTTCTGTCATTTCAGGAATTACAGGCTGGGTCCTTAAGGTGGATGCATGCCCTAGAATTTGTGGGTTTTTTTGTTTGTTTGTTTGTTTTGCTTGTTTATTTTATTTTCAGAAGTTGATTTTTCTAAGAAAATGACTGAAATAATTAAAAAAAAAAAAGTCACAGTGGAACCACCCTGTCTCTTTGCTCCAGAAACCTTTTGTTAAGAACTTCTTAAACAACCATCAGTTGCAGTTAAATTTAAAAACTGTTACAAGTTACAAAGCTGTTGACAAGTTTCATCAAACTGGTACCAAGTAAAAAATTTATTGTCATCGTTAAAGAAATGGCAAGTACCTCTCAGCTTTGACTTTTTTTCTCTTGATTTTACAACTGGCCACTCATTGTGGGAATTCTTCCTAGCTGATCGGTGTGCTTGAAATTCTGGAGCTAAATGCAGCACTCTTAATGTCCTGGACAGGATTTATAGACATGAGGTGAGACAGGATATCGGAGAGAGGATCTGGGGACAAAGATGTAGATCCATATCGTACCTGACTTTAGTTCTGCTCGTTGTGAGAGAAGCTATCTATTTAAAAAAAAAAAAAAAAAATAGTACAGATGGAAACACTTGTTGAAATGCATTAGGACAACTTGTGTGAGACACATTGAAGCCTCTGGTGTTCTTCAAAGTTCATCAGTATTTCGTGTTTTATTATTTAGTAAACTGTAGTGGAAGCTGACTTTTTTGAATGAGTGTAAGGACACATCAGTTCATTAAGTGGCGTTCTGATATACTTTACTATTTAGAAATTTATATTTATTTACATCTATCTGTTTTACATGGTAAAAACTACACATACAGTAAAACAAAGAAACAAACAAAAAAGACAGAGAAAAGCGGAGCAGTTGTGAACCATTTACACTTTATGTATTACAGATTACCTGACAGCAGTGGAGAAATGGATGGGGGTCCTCTTGCCAAAGATGAAGCCTCACCTCTATCAAAATGGAGGTCCAATCATCATGGTACAGGTAACTTTCAGAAAAACAAATTAATGCAAGCAGCGTGGATGCTTATATTGTTCTTGTGGATGCTCCATAAGTGTTGGCTAGTAAGGTACAAAAAAGTTTCTTAACAGTTTAAGGTAGCTGGAAGATTCATTGGAGTCTCTTATTCTAAAGAACTGAAGGTACTGTCTGCAAAATTCAGAGTGCTCCATCACAGTTGTTCCCAAAACTATGGAAAACAATAGTGCAAGCTTATGGAGCTTTTTTAGATCTGAGGTTTATGCCAATTCTCACATCAAGCCAACTTACATTATGGTTACCTAAACTCTTCTAATGGGAGGATTTGCTGCAGATAGGAGCAAGAGCAGTATGAAATAAGCCTCAAACTTTTATCCAGAAGAGCTTCAAAATTTAGACTTTTTTGTTTTGATCACCTGATTTGAGCTGTAAATGTTTCAGGGTACAGTGCTGTGCATTGTTGGTATGTATTTTCTCTTAAATTACTAAATATGTAGGAGTGCTTGTTCAATTTTCTTAGTATTTGACTGTAGCAAAAGCTTTGAGCTGCTTATTTTAATCTCCTTGCAGTGATTGCTGCAGCATGAGATACCGGTGAGGAGTGCCTATAAGTGTTCCCTTCTGTTATTCTTCATTTCTGGAATTTTAAATGGTATTTTCAGCATTTCTTTCAAAGGAAGAAGAGACTTGCATTTAAACTTCCATTTTTTGGCGTTAGATGCAACCTGGAATTCGCTACTTACTGCTCTGGTGACTTGTTTTTGCCGTGCAGGTGGAGAATGAGTATGGAAGCTACTTTGCTTGTGACTATGACTATCTGCGTTCCCTTCTGAAGATCTTTCGCCAGCATCTTGGGGATGAGGTGGTGCTGTTCACAACTGATGGTGCAAGCCAGTTTCATTTGAAATGTGGAGCTCTTCAGGGTCTTTATGCGACAGTAGACTTTGCCCCAGGTTGGAGACAGCTGTTTGTTACCAAAATTAAAGTAAAATGTGCACACTGCCACAGTTTGCTGTGACACAGGTCTGAAGAATGATCAAGCAACCACAGTGTGTTTGGAAAGTGTCCATTTGATGGAAGAGGGAAGTTGAGGCTGTGAACACTCATATTCTGCACAGACTTGGCAAAATAGGCTTAAAGCACAAGAAACAAATTCAAAGATGGATCTTTCCAGTTTATTTTGTATTTGTGACTTTTTATGTATGTTATTCTCTTTATAGTCAAACATACACTCCTAGTAGAAATTCATTTTTTATAAATGGATTGAAATCAAGAACTCCTTCACGTGTATCTTTCATGATGAGAAAGCTGCTCATGAGTAGTTATTTCTGTTGCCTGTGTTTTAAGCCACTAGGATTGCTCAGAAGTGAAACTCCTTTTTACAAACTGACAGGAAGACTGTTCTTCCCCATCCTCTTGCTACCACAATCCCAGGCCGATATGTTCCAATGACTGTGTAGTAATTCTGACACATCTCAGGGTTTTTGGAGCCAAGATGTCATTCCTGAGAACAGCTGGGTTTTCAGAGGATGTACCTCAAAAACAGACATGTGCATGCATGCATACATGCATGAATTCATGTGTGCATTTTAAATAAGTTCTGCAACTTAAGCACTGCAATGAAGCATGTTCATTCCTACATTCTCCAAAGTTTCTTGTTTATGTTTTTACTAGATGTTGGAAAGGAGGTATGGCACTTTTTCAGTTCTTTTTTTTTTTTTTACTGGAATAAGTTGAGGATATTTCAACTCAATCTTCTTTTAATAGGTGGAAACGTCACAGCAGCGTTCTTAGCTCAAAGGAGCAGTGAACCTACAGGCCCTTTGGTATGTCTTTTAATTTACATTGTTATATCATTCCCAATCTTAGTGGTTAACAACAGAGGAGTTGACAACAGTTTCTCAGGAATGTTTACAGAGATGTCATTTCTAAGTCAGTCAGAAAAGCTGAACAGAGGAGCTTCTGTGTGTTTGTCAAATCCACATTAAGTGTTCTGCAGATATTCTTTTGGTCCCAGGAGATACCAATTTTCAGTATTTTTCCTTATAAAGACAAATGTTTACATAGCAGCGGAAACAGTATGATTAGATGCATTAGTCATGAATGTGGGTGGGTGGAAGTTAAAGGCAACATTAAAAGGGCAGATTAAATGTTGCTTCCTGTTTTCAGCTACTCTAGAGCTTCTACACAACCTATAATGGGATGTGAGATTACTGGAAGCCATTTTGACAAAAGAGAAGACCCTTTAAGGGAACTGCTTCTGTGCTGTAAAATCATTTGGGATGCTACTTGAGTGTTTGGAAGATTTATTTTTCATTGCATCTAATATAATCTACAAACTCTGCAGAGAATGTATTTGTTCCATCATTTATTTTTATGCCAACTATCTGAAACATTAAGTTTGGCAGGTTCTAAGGAAATCTGTGTTCTTTAGTACTTAAGCAATGATTTTCAAAGTGCATGTACAAAATTGTTGAAAAGACAGTTTAGTCTCTTTGAGTCACCTACTAAAAAAGACTGATTTAAATGTATACTCTGCTGTATTTATAAAGCTTAAAAATAGTTAAAATGGTTCAAGGTACCTTTTTTCATTCTCTCTTTCAGCTAGTAACCCAAGTCGTGTTGCATTCTGTTCTTGCACCCTCTTCATATTTTTCTCTTCCTCCTTTCAGGTTAATTCTGAGTTTTATACTGGATGGCTGGATCACTGGGGGCACCGTCACGTTGTTGTACCCTCACAAACTATAGCTAAAACACTTAATGAAATCCTGGCACGTGGTGCTAATGTTAACCTGTAAGTGTGCCTTCAGTGAAGGGTAATTTGGGGTGATTTTTCTTTTTTTCCCCCATTTCTTCAAAACCTGATTAAAGTGATGGCTTTTTTTGTTTTGATTTGTTTTAGGTACATGTTTATAGGTGGAACTAACTTTGCCTACTGGAATGGTAAGAAATTATTTAAATTAATCTTATTATAGAGTAGAGCTGCTAATGTGTTAAACAGAATCATAGAATGCCTGGGTTGAAAACATCCACTATGATCATCTAGTTTCAACCCCCCTGCTATGTGCAGGGTCACCATCCACCAGACCAGGCTGCCCAGAGCCACATCCAGCCTGGCCTTGAATGCCCTCAGGGATGGGGCATCCACAACCTCCTTGGGCAACCTGTTCCAGTGCCTCACCGCCCTCTGTGTGAAAACTTCCTCATAATATTTAACCTAACCCCCAGTGTCTCAGTTTAAAACCATTCCCCTTTGTCTTACTGCTATCAACCCCATGTAAACAGCCATTTCCCCTCCTGTTTATACGCTCCCTTCAAGTACTGGAAGGCCACAATGAGGTCTTCCTGAAGCCTTCTCTTCTCCAAGCTAAACAAGCACAGTTTCCTCAACCTTTTTTCACAGGAGAGGTACTCCAGCCCTCTGATCATCTTAGTAGCCCTTCTCTGGACCCGCTCCAAGAGCTCCACATCCTTCTTATGCTAGACACAGTACTCCAGAGGGAGCCTCACAAGAGCTGAGTAGAGGGGGACAATCACCTCCCTCTCCCTGCTGGCCACCTCTTTTTTTAATGTAGCCCAGGATATAGTTGGCCTTCTGGGCTGCAATTGCACGCTGCTGGCTCATGTCTACCAGGAGCCCGAGTCCTTCTCCACAGGGCTGCTCTCAGTGAGCTCTTCCCCTAGTTTGTATAAATACCTGGGATTGCCCTGGCCCAAGTGCAACATCTTGCATTTGGCCTTGTTGAACCTCATTTGGTTCATATGGACCCGCTTCTAGTGACATGTTCTGTAAAAATGTAAGCTGTGCCTGCCTTCACATGGCAAAAGATGATTGCATTTGCAGTTCTCTGGCTATTGCCAGCATTTTCTGCTAAACACATGGTATTTCACCTTTGCAAAGGGTACTTTTGCTTTACTCAATGCTGTGAAGCAATTGAAACATGAATAAATTTGCTTCTCTTCAGGATATTTCTAAAGACATTATCACAGCAATGTGAGCTCAGAAGGATGTTGTTCTCCATAAGGAATATATTCTCAGTGCTGAATCCCAAACACCAAAGTCTACATTGAATCTAAAGTAAAAAGTACACAGACGGGCTGTGTTTGGAGAGAAATTCTGAAAGTTGATCCCCTTGGGAGAGAAAAACACAACTCTTTCACCATTTTTATTAATTGTTTCTTCCTGACTTCTTTTTAGGTGCTAATATGCCTTATATGTCACAACCCACTAGTTATGACTATGATGCTCCACTAAGTGAAGCAGGGGATCTGACTGAAAAATATTTTGCCTTGAGGGAGGTCATTGGTATGGTGAGTATCCCTAGTACATGTTTAGAATGGTTCTTTGAGATATCCCAGGCCTGCATACTCTTGCTCTTGTGTTGATTACTGTTTTCTGCAGGAAAAAGCAGTGAGTTAGAACAAGGTCACTAGGCCAACCCAATCCCTTGTGAAAAAGGAGTTTCACCTCTCTATTTTCCTGCTGTTCCAAAGATTGTCTCCTTATTTTCAAAGGAGATACAGTTGCAGATGTGACACTGAGATGATGCACCTCTGCTTTTTTGCTGGGCTTGTTTTCTTTCAGTTTGAGATCAGTAAGCTGAATTGTCTCAGTGGATCCAGAGGGGTGCTGGCAGAAAGGGAGCAGAGGGACACGAGAAGTATTTCTCTGGGAGTAGAGATGGAAGACAGATGAATAGTTTTCCCTTGCTGTGTTGATCAGGCACTCAGTTGGCTCAAGCTGGTCACTTGATGTTGGCCTGATAGCACTGCAGCTCTATGCTTTGTCTGTCTGTCTCCTGTACTTCATGTTGTTCTTTTGGGTCTTGTAAGTAGGAGCATGATTACACAAGAGAATGCATCTTGCTTTAGAGATGCCACAAACTGTAGATCATGGATGGGACCTTTGCCTTTGCTATAAAAATGTTTTGAAGTGACTAGGATCTCTACAAACAGAAGCATGGAGTGAAATATGGAACCTGTATCTGGATTTTGAATAGACTTGCATTGGAGGCCATTCAGGAAAGGCTTAAAGACAAAGTCCCTGGGAATCCTGAAACTTGTACTCTCTTCTCTCCCTATTGCATGTCAAAGCATTCCTATTCATTAGGAGACACTTTTGGTTGACAGTAGGTCTCCTGAAGTTATATTATGTTCAGAGTAAAGCATGCCTTTATCTCCCCACCTGTAGAAGGCCTGGTGTGGAATGTTTTCTTTCATTTCTTCATTATTGCTCAGCTTTACACTGATGGGATAATTTTGATAGTCTTTTCAGTCCTTTGTATCTTAGGCTAGATACAGCTTTTTCTCAAGAGAAAGATACCCAAGCTTCTTGTTTTTGAGTTATTTTCTTCAAGGCAAGATCTCTATGAGAAATGTAAGTAGTGTTCCAGTGCTGTGAGGTAGTCTTGATCAAATCAGTGTAAGTTAAGATGTGTTAGGTCATCGTACAGCTTTTTTGGTGCAGTTTGTTTCTCTCTTCTATATCCATAGAATCTTGGTGAAGGCTTTCTGTCTCTGCTGTGCCTTCTCACCTTGAAATAATACGTTTACTCAGTGCAGGTTGGGCTGATGTTGATGAAAGAAAATGAAATTGACAATAACTAACAACTGCTTTCAAAACATTATTTGTGCTACAAGGCTAACCTATTTTCATCTTGATTCTTACACAGTTGGTTTCAGTTAATAAAAGTAATAAAGGGGAAGAGTTTCAGTCAAAAAATTCTTTCAGTTGCTGGCTGTATTTTTACCATTTGGGCTAAAATTTTCTACTCTCGTTTTCTTTTCTTGGCAAATATAGTTTTTGTTTGATTTTAGTGCAATGTTGTTGTCTTTTTTGTTTGTTTTTAAGACTGTTTTGATTATTTTCAAATACAAAGAGGAAGACACAAAACAGTTACAGTGATATCAATTAGTTTTAATTAGTTTTTAGTTGAGTTTGGCATAGAGATACTAGAAATTATACTGCTATTTGTTTAAAAAGCAATCAGACCAACTAAACAAACAATAGGGTGTCTTGGTGAGAGAAAGCTTTTGAGCATTAGTTTTATGCTGCATGTACCATGAAGGTTGTAGGCTGAGAAAGAAGGGGGGCTACAGTGTGTGGCAGAGTCTAGATTTACCTCTTTTCAAGAGTGTCCATCACTTCCACGTTTGTTTCTATATTGGCTTCCTGCTAATCTAAGTTTTTCTCCAGCCTCCTTTATTCTCAGTGAGCCACTAGGGATTAGAGGTTGCCCAGCAGCCTAGTAGCAGCTAACAAAGTTATTTTCCACTGTGTGAGGTTTTCACAAGTATTTATGAAAGAAACCTGCCCAGAAGTTAATGAGATGGTAATGCACGCTATAGCCACAGGAGGGCTCCAAGAACACTGTGATGCTGTGATTCTGTGACAGCTTCTTACTTTGCTTTTTCATTTTGGAGGGTTTTGCTTTTTTATTTTTTACATTGTTACCTCGAGTTCAGTATTTGCAAAAAAACCCCAACCCTATATTTACTGCAAGTGATCCAATCAGACTTTTTCTTTGTGAAGCCTCCCTCTGAAACTGGGTGCCAGTGTAATCCACTAGCACAGTGGGACTATCTATTTTCAACTTAAGCTCTACTTCCATAAGTTGTAAAATGAAAAGCAAGAATTCAGTTAAGACATGTTTGTATTTAAGTTTCATGTATTTTTTTCCCTCCTTCTCTTCCTAGTATAACCAGTTACCAGAAGGTCTTATCCCTCCAACAACATCCAAATTTGCCTATGGGAAGGTTCGCTTGCAGAAGGTAAACTGACATCTGTAATATGCTAAGTGTATCTTTCTGTAGTGCTGTTGGCTTCTTTTTTTTTGTTTTTTTTGTTTTTTTTTTTAAATATGTTTGAAAGTGTCATGACAGTCTCTACATATCATACAAAATAGGAGGAAAAACCTCAAAAGCAAATTTTCAGGAAGGGTAGGACAGAGCTTGGGAAATAGAAACCGTGTCCTTGCTGGAAAATGATAAATATGTGTTATCTCAATATAAAAAATGATTTTTACTACATGCCATTTGTGTATGAAGTTCTACTAAACTAGAAGTAATGCATTCCTAGCACAGTAGAGTCTTAGCTGTCTGAGAACTGCTGTATAAGTAGTGTAGCAGGAAAAATGCTAGCATAAGAAATATGTTTCTGTAGTTGGTGATGCCTCTGATGGTGAAGGAGTAGGTGGTATGTATGTATCTTTTAGGTAAATACTTTGAGTACTTGTAAAATGTAAAAATGGAACACTTGTAATGAATCAGAAAGTCTGGTCAGTATAGTTTCTTGCAAGAACTGTGAAAATCTGTAACTAATGAAAGAAGCTTCTTGCTGAAGGAAAAGCAAACGGAGCTCAACCTGACTGTATCTTCTTTGGTAACTGACATGTGACTGATCAGCACATGAGTAGCTGGCACCATCCATCCTCCATTTATAGCACCATCCTTCATGGTCAGAGACAGTTTTGTAAAATGTGGTTAATAACTTGTTTCCTGCACTGGGTGTAAAATATGGTCTAAGAGAGTAAAGAGACAAAGAGGTATGAACTTGTCTCTATTCAGTCTGCTGTTCCCAGTCAAATTGTTTGGAGGTGGAAGATTACTGTGATTGCTGTAGTAAGTACTGTAATTCATAACAGTTCAGTGTATATTTGGTATGCTTAATTTGGCAGCTGCTGTTCCAATCCACAGTTTATCTGATCTGTTACATGCTGCAGCTGAAGTGTTGGAAAATTTGGTGGCGATAAGGCTTTGCAGATGGTTTTTGAGTCATCCCACACAAGTGGTGGGCAGGAATCAGTTCTTTGTAAAAGTGACACAACTTTTGAATTTGTCACAGATTTATATCATTTTCAGCAATCTCTGTGTATCTTCAGACCTTTTAGGTCAGGGTTGCCATATGAGGTTTCACTGAATTGGTTACATTTGGTAGTGACTAATTTTATACTGTTATCTGTACACCCACCACTTCTGCTGGTGTACTGGGTTGCAGGCACTCAGAAACCTTGCAATCAGATTTTGCCTCTGCTCTTCATCATGATTTATGCCTTTCAGATAGGACAGTCTAGTTTCATGGGAATTATGAATTTTCTCTTTTCTGTCTCCAAGAAATGAAAGCTGCAAAGCATCAGGACCAGAATCCTGTCTTACAGATGCGTGGTCAGGGCAAATGACTAAACTGGCTCAAGTATCAAAGCTTTGACCTGACCATCACACTGGAAACCCTGTTCCTTTTCCCTTCTACCTCCAACACTTCCTGCTTGTTTGAGGAGGTGTGTTTTATTCTGAACCCAGCAGTTCTAGAAAGCAAGATGGCATTTCTAAGCTATCAGGTGTGAGGTTCCAGTCATTTTCTGTACATATATTGTCATCTGTACTGAAAGCCTCTAGAATTGTTTTCTGGTAAGAAAATTGTTTTTCCTCTGTAAACTCACTGTTTTACTTCAACTTCTGTTTACTCCTTTACTTAGTTAGAGTGCAACACAGAACAAGTCACAGATCACAGAAGGTTATACTGTTCCTGCCAAAGCTGTCCACTCCTATTGTAACAAGGTCCAATGCCCCTTGTCTAGAGAAACCTGAATGTATTTGGGTGACTTGTCAGATAGGAATTGTTGAAAATAATGTAACTTTGCTTTGGGTGATCCTTGGAGGTCCCTTTCTACTCAGGATATTTTATGATTCTATAGTGGTCTTCCCAGCTGTAGCAATTTGCAGTAACAGTTCTGGAACAGGTACTATGTGAAAACTTCACTGTGCAGTTGGGGTTCAGCAGTTAGTTGTTAGCTGAGCAGCAAATCCACTGCTATGAACCAACTGCTGCAACCTTTCTGCAGAAAGAAACAGGGAACAGGCACCAGAGTATTTTCAGTGGATGCATGGCGTACTTTACAGAGGCTCATGTAATTTAGAGACCAGGTTATCCTCTAATTTTCCCACAAGATGTTCTGGGACAATTCAATGCTTGATCAGCAGCTCATTACCTCTAGTTGAAGAGGAGAGGTCCTTGTGCTACTATTACTTCTTAGATGTTTGCACATAAGTTTCACTAGCTCAAAGTCATTTGGGAACTCAACCTAACTGTAAAGAAATAAAACAATAAAACATCCTCACCCATCCTTCTGCTGTTCCCTTATCAGACAGGTGTTCATTTTGAGCTACTGAATGATTTTAGAGTTATTCTGGAGGGAAAAGAAAGGGAGGATCTACTGAAAAATAGACCTAAGGATGCTGCCGCTGCTATGGAAGAGGACAGAAAAGCAATGAGGAAAGAGCTTGTTGCAGTGTTAGAAGAGAGAAGTGTATTGGTGGTAGGGAATGAGGACAGGCAAAAGTTCAAGCACTGGAATAGGCTCCCTAGGGAGCTGTTTGAGTCACCATCCCTGAATGTGTTAAAAATCTGTTTGGATGTGGTGCTCAGGGACATGATTGAGCAGAGGGTTGTTAGGGTAGTATGGTTAGGTTGTGGTTGGACTTGATCTTTAGGGTCTTTTCCAGCCTGAGCAATTCTATGATTCTAGGTGGAATAGTAATAGGTTGGCTCAAGAACTTAGAGCAAGAAGGCAGAGTTTAAGACTCAGAATGTGGGAAATGTTCTTTGCAGATGCAAATGAAGGCGTCTTCCCGTCCACAGTGTGTCTAGTGGCCTTGGAGGCTTGAAAACAGGTGGTAGTTTCTGGTCACCACTCAGGGGGCCCTGAGGAGTGCTTGGTCACAATGAAATGCCTGCCCCAGTATTGTGGCCTGCAGACTTGTAGATCTTGTAGTTGTGCTTGCTTCTTAGGCTGTGAAAAGCTTAAGTAATAGTTATGAATATGGTAACAGGCAATCTGAGAGGTTTGAGTCAGGGACAAAATGTGGGGTACAAATAGTTTCAGCAGACAGGATGCTGCCAGTAGGTGATACCACTCCTGTTGCAGCTGTGTTCTTTCTTTCATGTTTGATCTTTCACTTTGGTTTTGAAAATTTGCTCTGGAGGATCAAAAAGTGTTGCTGTTATTTGTTAGTCATCTGTTGGTTGTTTTTTTTTCTGTTTGTTTGTTTCTGCGCAGATTATTTTTAGAAATTCTTGACCAAGTTCAAAGTTGGTACTTTTTAAAATTTACTGTTTCTGTTATGATAGCAATTGTCTGCTAAGTAGTAGTCAGTAGGAACCTGCAGCAAAAGCAGATCTTGATTTTTGTTCTGTGCACATCACTTAAGAGTGATAAGTTTAATAAAAGATTGCAAAGAAATTAGTTTCTACCAACCTAGTGCATAGGTCAAACACATAACACACTCACATGTGGAACAGAAGCTGCCTTGATAGTGTAAGCTTAGAAGAAGATCAGACAGGCACATCTGTAGGCTAATTCTCAGTTTATGAAGGTCCAAAGCAGCACTCATTGCCTGTTAGTAGGCTATGCAAATGACTACATATGACCTAATACCACTTATGTCCATTCTTGGTTTTATTGTTAGTAGCCTAGGCTGCTAATGCTTGTAAATTTGTTCATTAATTCCATAATCTTTTAGTATCTATGCAGAGATGCTCATTCCTTGCTTCAAAGCTGTTGTACAAGATCCAGTGGTTCAATCTGCTGTGGCCTACTGGATTCTGCATTACAATTTGGGGAATTTTACTCTTTGAAAGCTGATTGTCATCTTAAGTGAAGTGCTTAAGGTGAAAATGTAGGAGAAAGCTACTTCCACGGGAAATTTGGAAGCCATCATTTGACAGACAGCCTTTTGCCTCGATAAAGGTGTTTAGGTGTGGACTACTGAGGAAGACCCAACCTTCAGGTAGTGAAGGTGTTGCCCTTTGTGTGCTTATGGTCTCCTCTTGCTCTCTTGTTCCTTGTTAGAGCTAAGTTCATTTAGATCTATGTCTACATACTGAAGAAATACTTGCGGATGCATAGATGATTCATGATTACTTCTGTCACGTATAGAAGGATTTTAAACCAAACAGTGTATATTGCTATGTATTTTATTATTTCAGCAGTTTTCTTTATTTATACTGTGCAAAAATTTAATATCTCCATTATTTCATTAGCCTAAGAAATTTGTATTGCTGTGAATGCACGTAGAGATAGTTTTTTCTTTATTGTAAATGCTTCTTTAATTTTTTTTTAACTGTTCTTTTTGTTGAGTATTTGAAAGCAAATCTGCATTTGGGAAGTATTGGAATGCCTTGTGTGTAGTTAATGTAACAGAGATGGTACTTCTAGTGAAACAGACTGAGATCTTACATGAATTGTATAAATGCTTTTGACTTTTTGAGCTTGTTAAGTATTAAGCATACTGGTACATATTGAGTAACATCACATTCATAGTTGGTTTTCAGATAGGATTGTGGATGAGCAGAAAACCTGTATAAGCACAAATTTATGTTGCAGATGGGAACAAAAGGCAATTTAATTGTACGCATGTACCTTCCTTATTCAGCAAGGTAGTTAAGCGCGTGACTAGCCTGTACTTTTTTGCTTATTAAAATGAGTCCACCTATTTATATGTGACACTAAGTTACAGCCTTACAGTTTCTAAAACCAAGGTACATTCAGGCTGAATTTTACTCCTTTTTCTGCTGTAGGTGGGCACTGTGGTGGAGGTTCTTGATAGGCTGTCACCTTCTGGACCGGTGAAAAGCACTTACCCATTAACCTTTGTTCAGCTCAAGCAGGTAAGGATTCCTCTGTTAGGCATTTTGCAGTTATTTTGCCAAGTTTATTTGAACATCACTCCGTTGTATGACTGCTCTTATGTCCAGTGTATTACACCTTATTTCAGCGCAGGAAGTAATAATGCTGGAAAGGATTTTTTGGATATGAGACCTTTCCGTATTTGACAGTCCTACTGTTTTGCACTCAAGATTTTCTCTTTTCATGAGTGTAGATATATGCTATATATATTTTTTTCCTCACCTGCTGTCCAAGTGAGAGCAGTGGATGAAACGTTGCTTTTTCATGAAGGTCAGGGACCCTGGAGTTGGGGAATGCAATCCATTTGACACTCTTTATGAGCCTTCTACCTATTTTTTTTGTCCTTTCCTTTTACCAAATGCTTGCTCAAGAGAAGAAGTGGTGAAGGAGAAATGTGTTACAACTCACTGCCCAGGGCATTCTCACTGACTGATAAGAAAAATACATAACTGTGTTTTGCTATAGCTTCTGCTGACTGCCACTCTCCCCTCTGTTATTTTTCTCTGTCTCTGCATCAATGTCCCCGTCAATTGTGGTGACTTCCATATCTTCCCCCACAGTGGAAGATCTTTCCCTTGCTGCCGAGTGACGATGTATTTCCATTAACACTATATGGCTCCCTTCTGTGCTGAATTTAACAGAGACTGGAACATGGGTGCTAATTGCCTGTCAGATGCATTTCAGCAGGTGCCTGGGATATTTTCTAAGGCATTAATCAAGTAAGGATTGAGAGTTCAAATTTTTCCTTTCCAAGACTCTAATAGAGAGGTGCTAGAGAAGCTTCACTAAGTAGTACATTGTTGTAGAATGTATTATCTAGTTGGTCTTTATTTCATCCTCTGTTCTTCCCACCTTTGAACTCTGTTTAGGAAAGCTTCTGAGTGGCCATTCAGTCGAGCTGCATAGTATTTTCCCACATTTTCTTTTCATTTTTCTGGGCACCCTGTTACAAATGTAAGATAAATGTCATAATAATAGTGAACTGGAAATGTTTACTCTCCCTTCTTCCTGCCATCTTCTAATCGAAATCTTGAAGATAAATGGTTTTGTGGCTGCTGACAATACACCTTTTTTACTGGTTTTAATTTGTGTTTCACTTTGTGATGAGAAAAAAGATCAAATGACTATGACTTTGTTTGTTTACTGCTGGAGAACTTAGTGAAAAATATTCTAAAATGTTCCTGATAGTTTGTAAAATAGGTAATGCTGACCTGATGAATGTGTTGGTTGACAAAGTGCTCTTTGTTATATTAAGTCAGTTATGAAAAGATTTTTCATCTATTGTTAATTGATCATAATGAAGAAATCATACTGTTAGTCATTAATGGTTTGGTTTTATTGGGGAACTAGATTTGTAGCCAAGACTTTTATCTTTTACAGTTATGTAAATTTACGATGAACAATTCAAAATGGAAACTGGAATTTACACACATTGCTTAAAAGTCAAAGTGAACTCTAATCTGAAGCTGGTATCTCTGGTAAATACTTTCTGAAGCAAATGAAAGTTTTGTTTCAGTGAGAGTATATTTTACTGCATGACCACAATTGAAGTTAGAGAATAGTGTAGCTGATTAATCTGGGGATTTTTTTCTTTCCTTTTCTTTTCTTAGTATTTTGGATTTGTACTGTACAGAACGAAGCTTCCAAAAAACTGCACAGAGCCAACACAACTGAGTTCACCTTTAAATGGAGTCCACGATCGTGCCTATGTCTCTGTGGATGGGGTAAGCGTTGTTTGCTGGTCTCCATTACCATTATGAGTGGCCTTCATGAAAGATATGAACACAATCTGCTTTTTATCTCCTTTCTTCAGCTTACCAAAACAACTTTATCAAATAATATCATTTAATAAGATGAAGAAAGTATACAGTTGATTTGTAGTAAACATTCGTAGTAATGTTTCAGAAATTACAAAATGTTATTTCAGTTTTTGAGGTACTTGAATGTTGATACACATTCATGACATCAGTGAAAAATAAGTATTAAAAATTACTTCTTACTTGAAGTTTTTTGGTATGCATACATACATACACACAGGTACATATACACAGACTTACATTTGATGGCTGGCTGCAGTGTGTTCACTGATGTTGCCATGTCAAGCTCTTCTTTCCTGATGTGAGAATGGGAATAAGTAAAGCTAAATATTGATGTAAGCTTAACTGGGATGTGAATCATCTCTTAATCTCTGACACTTACAACATTTTTTCAGTTACTGGATTAATGTTTTGGGAGTGCAACAAAAGCCACTAGAATTTGAAAATTGATTTAGTTGAATTAAACTTCTGAAAGAGATGACTTCAGTTGGATGAATGTGACCAGTGCGACTTGTACATCTATTTGATGTACTGAAATGTGAATATTGACATACCAGGTTTGTGGGTGTGTGTGCTGGTGTGTGAAAGGAGGAAAGGAAAAGATAAATATATATATTTTAACATTCATTTGCTTTTTACCTTCATCCCTTTCTTTTATTCATGTAAATTTAAGAAAGAGATGGTAGATCTTTTTTGTTTAATTATTTTTGTTTTCTTCTTTTTGGTGTAATTCATATAGGTTCAGCAAGGAGTCCTTGAAAGAGACAAGTCACTAATGATAAATATAACTGGAAATGCTGGAGCAAATCTGGACATCTTAGTAGAGAATATGGGCCGGGTCAACTTTGGAAGATTCAATAACGACTTCAAGGTAGGGAGAAATTTTAAGATGTGCAAAACTGTTTAGATAAACTCAAAAGTAAGTTGGAAATCTGTCTAGTATTGATCATGCTTAGCAGCTTGTGAATCCTGAGGTTGTATTTCTGTGTGTATTTACGTGTGTACACACATACCTTTGTGTATCTTTTTGTGTCCCATTTCATTTGTCAGTAGTGTACTCCTGCAACATTTTCAGCGCAGTGATGTGAGGCTGTCTTGCAAGTACTTCACCATGCCACGTTGCCAGTTCAGGTTTGTACTGATGTTATAGAAGTAATCTTCAGAAAGCTTCCAAACACTCTCAAAGCCGTGCTATACTTTGGAGCTGTCACCTCCTGCCATTAGCAGCAATACCACAAAAGAAACACTGAGAAAGGCAGGGGACAAAAAGGAATGTTATCTGGTTTTAGACTTAAGGGGGTTCCCAGTGCTGAGTGACATTTTCCAGTGAAAGGAAGAGAAGTGTTAAAAAGGCCAGTCTGATGTGTTTCTGCAGTGTTCACAGCATGCTATTTTATTTTCTTTTTCAGTTTTTGATGTTAGTAGATTACGAATAGTATCAGGGTAATGACAGAAAACTTTACAGTTAAGTTGAGAATTGCAGGCCCCAAAAAGCACGAATCTATTGTAAATTGCCATTAGACTTGGCCTAAATTGATTTGGCAGTGTTCTTTCAGAATGTTGGTGTACAGATTAATAACTGTCTGGTGACTGTGGTTCCCTCTGGTACTGCAGGTGACACCAATTGGTGGAAGCCCATGTTTCCTCTCAGTCTAAATTCTGTCTGCGAGCAGAACTGAGACTTGTCCAAAGTGTATCTTGGTTAGATTGGATGCAACAGCAGGAGAAAGACAAACGTCATGGGAATGAAGACACATGCAAAACTGTACCATTGAGTTAAAGGCACATATGCTGTGAGAAAGTAGGAAGAGTGTATAAATCTTACCTTACTTTGTTGATGAGATTCCAAACTCGGATTGAGTTTGGGCTTGTTACAAAATCCAGTTGAATAGTAAAACATAGATTGGGAAGAGTCTTGTGAGATCACCAGCAGGCAGAATCACCTATTCTCACACTTGTGTTTTGCTGCCGTGAAGAGGATGGGCATCTTTACCTTGATAAAGAAGTATCTGTTGTTTATGGTTAAGCAGCACAGAAGGTTTGATTTAAAGGTGACTAGTTGACTGGTTATCTTATCAAGTGTGTTGTGATGTGAATTTCTAGGTCTATCTCCAGTTATTCTAAGGCTGTAGTCAAGGCAAAGCAACTTAGATTTCAGGATGTATAAAAGTCTCTGAATTAAATTATCAGTATCTGAGTGTTTTCTGTGCTTGTGACATGCAATTTCAGAGTGAAGAAATAGTGCTTAATTGTACTGTCATTTCAAGGCTCCTTACTCTTCTTCTGAGTGCCAAGAGAGTAGCTAGTTCCCCCGTGTTCTGCTTTCATCTAGAGGCAGCAGAAATGTTGTCTTGATTTATTTAGTAACAGACCAGGTGATAAGGAAATTTATGTACTCCTTGCTAATCTGCAGTAATATAATCAAGTGTTAGAAACTGGAGTAGGAAGGTGCTCAGTGCTGCTGTGGTTAAGCTGAAATTCACACTTATACCAGGGTTTCAGCTTTCCAGAGATGAAGTGAAAGCGAATATAGTAGATGTCCACTGTGGGAATAAACCTCTAAAAGCACAATCCTTTCACACAGAAGGAGGAGACGTTGTCCACGTAGCTTTGGAAAATGTGTGTTGCTTATTCCCATAGATTCCTTTGCAAAGAATACCTTAAGGCAGATACTCATTGTGTTGATTTTTGAAAATGGGGGATAATTTTGCCTTTTTAGATATTCTATGGCTTCAAAAATAACATTAGGGGAAGAGGTTTCTATCTTGTTAAGCCTTGGACTTTCAAGACAATAGGGTAGCTTTTCTGAATTTTGTTCAGTTGCTTTTTCTCAGTTTTTTGAGTTTGAAGTGGAACCTGGCATCTATCTTTTGGGAAAGAATCTTAAGCAGATACTGGTTTTAAAACATCCTGCTGGTTGAGGCCTTGTTGTTAAAGGAAACGTAGGAAGAAAGAGTGGAGTTTCTGAGTTTGTTTGTTTGTTTGTTATTCACACTCACTGCCATTTACATCTTTATTTTACTTGGAAAATTCATGTCCCTATCTGATCTCTTGCTTGTGCATTGTTATGCTGACCAAAGAAAGAGTGCCTTTAGGCACCTCAACTCATTTGAAAACCACACCATTCTTAACACCTAGAAGTAGATGAGAGACAGGTGAGAAAGTTTTGACTAAAACTTTGTTGCATTACTCCAAGTGATTGCCAGATAAAGTCTGGGTTGTAGAGAAGAGTTCTGCCACTTAACTCTGTGCAGATACTTTATTTTCAGGTAAGAAAAGGAAGTTCCTGTTCTGCTTATACTGATCACTAGGCTTGTGATGTCAGTGCAGTGTGTATTAGACATCAGAACAGACACGCTATATATTGTCAGCCCTCCATGACAACAAAATATGTGCTTTTACTCGTGGCTTTATTCATAAAACTTTTTGTTCCTCTTCATCTTGCAGTGCTTGCAACAGAAATTCAGTTGTACTGAAAAGCAACTTCTATACAGGGTCTGTTCAGGAGATTATATGGATGTAGCAGAATTGGCTTAAAATTAATTCCTCATTTGGCAGTGAAACTCAGCTTTAGAGATCATTAATGTAACACAACTAAGAAGTGTGTTCACATTCCTTTCACTCCTCTTAAATTGTGACTTTGCCTTGCCTTTTGCATTCATTCTGTGACTACCCTGGTGTGCTTCAAGAGTGCACAGAGTTCCATGGAAACGAAAACAGGTTCTATGTGGGCTTGAAGCTGACTGTAAACGTAAAGTATTTCACTGAATCGGGGTCACAAAGCATGTGCATTGATTTTGTGATACTGTATGCTCACTGTAAAAGGCTTGTAGGAAGTAAATACTGCTTTCTCTGCCATTGTGCGGGTTAATATCTTGAGTTAGTGACTCAATGTTACCAAATCTTTAGATGCTATCTCAAAACTTAAGCTACATGACCCCTTTTCTGCTTTTTATTAAGTCCTGTGCTATTGAATCATGTTCATATTGAAGAAAAGTAGATATTTTCAGTTAATGGGGAAAAAAAAAAATTGAAAAAGAGACCTGGGCATCAGAGAAAGCTCAAAACTTTGTAAAAGGAACAGCACTTTCACAGAGAATAAATTAAATCCTTTATTCTTAAGTAGAACTTACAACTTGTTGAAGCCCAGATATTTGTCTTTCCATCTTTGACTCAGAAAAGTTTTTATTCCTTGTTTATAGTTGCATCTGGATAACTTCAGTAACATGAAGCTAATTATGTTGTCTTTGATTTTTTTTTTTTTTTTTTTCTTTTTTTCTCCTCCTAGGGTCTAGTTTCAAATTTAACTCTTGGTCAAGATATTCTTGTTGAATGGGAAATGTATCCCCTAAATATAGACGGAGCAGTGAACCATTTCATTCATGGCTACCCTGGCCACCCGAAGAGATCTGATAGCAATCCACAGAGTTACGAAGCACCTGCCTTCTACACTGGTACACTTTCAATTCCTGGAGGGATTCCAGACTTGCCTCAAGACACCTATGTTAAATTTCCTGCCTGGACAAAGGTACAATTTTTGCTGTTAAAACTTGAAGTCTACTCAGGCAGCTACTAAAACTTCTATGGAAGGTCGAAGTCCACCTTTCTGTGGCTTGGTAGGAGTACGTTATAGTGAGATATGTCAAATATATTTGAATGAGTAGGAAGTGGATTCCTTGGTTCAAGTGAATCTGTAAGTAAACCACTAAGAGGAGGGAAACATACTCAAAAGGTACATAGTAACATAGTGTAGAGAGAATTGGGCACTGCTGGTAGAGTGTCTGTCAGTATGGATCCAGACAGGCAGTAAAACTGTCTTCTGGTGCTTACCTGTGGCTGGACTGAATGGGTCAGCAAGTAATGCCACAAGAAGCTTGTGAGCAGGTGTCCATTAATAGGAACTTCTGACAGGGTTGGAGTATAGCTAGCTATACTATATATACTATATATATACTATATATATATATACTATATATATACTATATATACTATATATATATACTATATATATACTATATATAGCTATATTGTATAGCTAGAACAGAAAAGAGTATGTTTTCAGGGTGCCATGTTTGAGACAGTGTGCAAAATGGGTGAAGACCATTCATGTTGCTGATGGGAGACGTGGAGGGCAAGAATGTGTGGACTGAAACATCACTCCCTTTGGAGGCCTCAGGAATTAACTCCAGACATCAGAGTGATGAAGTTAGGTAGCAAAGTTATTCCTTTCTGAAACAGTTTACTTATAGCTATTAAAGCAGAGTAGGAGAAGTTGCTGGTGATCTCTGTACAGCATTTTAGTGGTTAACGAACTTTCCAGTATGCAGAAGACTGATTCACTGCAGGCTTTTTGTGCTGCCTGCAGTGAGCTTGGATGAGGAAGTCTCACAGTCCCTGTTTCTGTACATGTACACATCTTGCACAATCACAGAAGAAAATAAAAATAGTTATCTGCACAGGAGCTGGAATCTGGAACTTTTGCAGTAAATTCTGTGACGTAATCACAGAATCACAAGCCATCTTCCTATCTTTGAAAAGGCAAATGTGTCCAGGAATTCTTAGGTGTTAGTGGCAATCTTTTCATCTGATCTACTGAACATAAACTTCTGCTTTATGTAGTTGGTATACCCTCTGAAGAGGTCAAAGAGAAGAGATGCCAGACAAAATGTAAATATGGTTATTGGATGGATCCTTCAAGCTTTGTATGGATTAGACTAAAATTTTAAATAAGGTACCCAGGTGTAATAAGATTGAGGTGAAAGGTTGAGTTTGGGGGGAAGAAAGACAGAATCTTGGACTTGCAGATAACTCTACAATGAGCAAACGCCTATTAAGGCTTAAGGCTGTAAGAGATTAAATTCCACTCAAGTCCTGCTGGAGGTCTTAATTCCTTGAATGGCATTGCATAAATTGCTGATGGCAAGGTATGGAGAGGAACTCCTAATAGGATCAAAAAAACAAAGTGTTTGTACTTCAAAATCCACACAAACAGTGCTTGTTAAGAAAACATGCAGTTCTTAGTAGTATCCTACCTTTGCATATTAAGACAAGGAATATGACATACTGGATAACCCAGAAGGATGTAGCATTAACAATCATGACCTTGTTGTAGCTCACTCGCCTTTGGTGTTTTTTAAAACCTTTCTCTTAACAAAACTTCCTCAATTCTCACTTCAGGAAGCATGGTGTTCCTAATGGGGCATGTTACTGGATATATGGTTAGATTTGTCAGATTATTATTAGATTTTTGATCTGAATAAAAAAAGAGGATTTGCAGTCATGACTGTTCTTCATTTCTGTGGTATCATGGGTTGTAATTGGTGACCCTGATAGAGGAAATCTTGTTTCTGAAGATAGACATCCACTCCTTGCCTCTGCTGTTCTTGTTTTAAATGTCAGTTTGGAAATGAGAAACAAAGTTCGTGGTTTTACTGGAAAAACAAGATTAAGATCAGAAACCAAGACCTGTATGAGCACACCTGCTGCATAGAACTCCAATGCAGCTGATTCCTATGCTAAACTCCTGCTTCCAAAAGAGGGTTACAGTCACCCTGTCTATTAGTTAGACTACTGTGTAGTAAGTGCATTTGCAAATTCATTTTGTGCGTTGGTGCGTAGCTTGTGTTAATGTCACATTTTATCATGAAACTAGTGTAGAAGTAAAGTAATAAGCTTGATTTAAAAAGCTTCCCTTATCCTAAAGGACAAGATTAAAATACATCAAAAGCAAGCAATGAACGAAGATCAACTTGATTTAAATATGAAAAAAAGTTTGAGGTCAAAATTTATTAACCTCTTGGCATGTGGTAATGGATACAGAGATAAAATAATTGGTCAGCATTGACAAATATACCAGCTCCTTGAAAATGTACCTTGCAAGTTCCATAAAAGCTGTTTTAGTAAATAGAAAAAAGAAACCAGAAAAAAAAATGCCTCCAAAACACCTGGAACAGTAAGATTCAGTATTCTACATTAGTGCTTCTGTAATTTTTTTATTATCTGAATTTTAGCAATCCTAGATTCAGGTTATTTTGTAATTTTTATCAATGTACATCAGTGCCATGACTGCATTTCAGAAATCTGCATTCAGATTTCTGCAGTCTAAAGCAAAAAGGAAAACACAGATTAAATTATCTGTTCCCATCCTCTTCCTTGGCTGCTGAACCCTTTGTGAATTGTCTGACACATGATGAAAAGGACATTTAAGAAGAATAAAAGCAGATGGTTTGTCCAGATCAGCTTATATCTCTTCTATTGAACACTGCAATTCACCTCCAGAATCCATTTGCAGTTTTGCTGAACATTTAGCATCTCTTCAGTTTCAAAACATCTGGAAAAACCTGCATTTGTTTCACTGCAGTGTGTTCACTTTCTGGTGTATAAAAGACTGTTTTCATTTTTACATTATTTTCTTGTTTTCCTTTTTTTGTTTGGGATGTTTATGATGTTAGAACAGTATTCTAAACTGTTAGGGGTCGCTTCTATTATAAAAAGTAATTTGAAGAGTTTGTATGCTGAATTAACCACAATGTCATTGAATTTACATTAATGCTAGCAAAACCTAAAAAATTTTGTTTCAACCAGTGTAAAATACAGTACCTTTGTACTGTAATTTTATAATTTCCTTAGTTAACTAAACTATTAAAAGTATAATAAGCATTGGAATTTAACATGCCAGGGCAAGCTGTACATCTTATTTTGTAAAATCATGCAAAGGAAAGAAGTACAAAGATGATGTAGTATTATGTTTTGTGGACGACAACAGAAGAATTAGAATCTGATTTCTTTTTTTGCAAGTTTTCTCTCTCTTCAGCAATCAGCTTCAAACAAATACAGTTTTCAGGGCTTGCTTTGGTCTGAGGGTAGTTATAAAATTCGTTGTTAGAAATCTGTAACTAAGGACTCTCATATCTGGAAAGACCACAGTATCTGACCACTTCATTTTAAAACAGCAGCAAAGCATCAGGGAATTTAGATTCTTTTGGTTATTTCTAGCATTTTTTCAAATAGATTTTCTATCCTGGTGTTCTATCAAACTGACAGATCAAGAAAACTCACTTACAATGCGAAGCATGTTATGTTATAAAAAGTGTAGTCATTTGATCATTGTCAAACTATTAAAACTTCATCATGTTGTCTTTCTCTTTGAACAGGGGCAAATTTGGATCAACGGCTTTAATCTCGGTCGCTACTGGCCAGCCCGTGGCCCTCAGTTGACCCTTTTTGTTCCAAGGAATATACTTGTTTCATCGGTGCCAAACAACATAACAGTGTTGGAGCTGGAGCATTCTCCATGCAGCATCCAGCTGTGTGAGATAGAATTTGTAGATAAACCTATTATTAATGCAACCACACAGTACGAAATTGATGCACCCCCCCTGTTTGTTAGAGACATGTGGCTGAGCCATCTATAATGATTTGAGTGGTTCCTTACGTTCCCCCTACTTTGCTTCCCGTTTCCTTCCAACACAGTTCCCCTTTTTTAAGTCAATGTTAATCAGTACATTGTCTAGCTGAGGCAGCTTTTTAAATTCTTCAAAGACTCTTTTTTTTTTAAGCTGGTCAGAGTTAATTACACAAATTCTCTTGAAAAAGGAAAGTTGTAACTTCACAGTTTGCCTTGGACTGTGAAACTGAGCTTATCTAGAAGATAACTGTAGCATCAAAGTCTACTAAAAATGTGCTCCTGTAGGCTGTTCGCATTACAGAAACCCTTTTATGATTTTCTTTTTACTGTCTTTTGCAACTGGAGAGAAGCCTACAAAAGGGCTGTACAATCATACAAGCCTGCTGCTTGCTCACATGGCCTGGCAAGTCAGTGCTGCCAATGGACTAGATACTTGCAACTCATTTTTTTTTTTTTTTTTTTTTTCTCCAATTATCTATTTAGTATCAGAATCATTTTAGTCTATGCTGACAGCCAGCATTGAGTGGGCCTCTTTTTTTTTTTTTTTTTTTATCTCCATGCAAATTGGTTTGTTATGGGAGCAGTGAGAACCACTGTGGAAGAGAGCACTCGTGCAAGCTGATCCGTATAGCAGCAATGCAGACTGTGGAGAGAGACCTCGTATTGTGTTTCTGTCCCTTCTGTAAAGCTGATTGACTGCTTCCCTTCTGCTTTCTAAAGACTAATTAAGTTGACAAGTACTAGGACTTATGTGAAATTTAGGTTGTTTTGGTTGGACCCTAGTCTCTAACTTATCTGCAGAATGTAGTTGTGAAATTGTGGTTTTTTTCTGACATGGAACAGTTCTTTTTCATAGGCTGGAACCTTGGAAGTAGAGGGTTTTAAGTTAGAGAATTTGAACTCTTGTATTCATTAATTCGTGCCTTCTGTTTTGTTCCAGTAAACTGATAATCTTTGTAAGTGCCTGTTATTTGCAAAGATATACAGTTCATGTCAGAAAAGCTGACATTCTACAGCAGATTGAATCATCTCTTTAATTCTTAGGGTTTTGTTATCAATCATGAAAACTTCTTGTGAGATTTAAATAACAGAAGATTAAGATAAAAATATTGAAATTTTCATAACCAGAGGTTGTTCCCTTTTAGTTTTTTGTCTGACATCATTAAAATTGTTCTTTAAAGATGAAATCCTTCCTGTGATTGCTTGGGAGTGAAAAAGGGGGAGGTGGAAGATTGATTTTTAAAGTGTTGTGTAAGAAATGAAGTTGTAAAGTCACTGTGAACAAAAAGTTGTTGTTGATGTCTGGTTTGTTTTTTCATCATGAAGATTTGTGCAAAGTAAAGCAAATGAAAGTGGTTGTAATGGGCTGTGAGGTCTCCCAAGGTGCTACTGTCTTCTGAGACTGTCAGTGCAAAAACATGACTATTTCTTTGCAGCTAATGCAGACTGCTACCCTTGCCTGAGAAGAGAATGAAAAGGAATGCCACCCCATTATCGACACCTCTGGTATGTGTTCGATGGGCTGACTGCTGTAGGTGCTTTCAGACCAGTTCATTAGAACCAGAGAACTTTGAGTCTTAAATTCTTACACAAATGCAAGGTTTTATGGCTGTGGGCTTTGTGTGCAGTGCTCAAAACACTTCATTCTCTGTGCTGACTCCAGAATTTTTTGTTCTTTGCATCATCCACATGCAGACCTCGGAACGCGCTCTCCAAGCCATTTATTATGAAGCTAGGCTTTGAAAGTAAGGAATGGAACAGAATTAGTTTCATACCGGTTGTGGGTTTTGTGGCGTGCAGCATGCAGATTAATGGTATTACTTAGATACAATTCCTACAACAGTTCAGTGCTTTAAAAGGAAGGAGTATTTTCATTTTTCTGCCAATTAGTGCTGTGAAGAGACCGGAAAAGTTGTTCATCCTGTAGCTCTTGTTATCACTTCATTTTTTCCATTGCATTCGTGAAAATGTAGTACAGTATAATCCTTCATATTTTTCTTTTTGTCAAAACTCAGTGTAATATTACAAACACTATTTATTTATTTATTGGCATTAAGGATTGCAAACATTCATCTGGATAAATATAAGGCAGTCAAGAACAAAATGATAAACTCAGTGTTTTTCAACTAGGTCTCTAGACAGCTTCAATAATGCACCTGCCTGTTAATTGCTTTCTGGGAAGTGATTTGTTGTCTACAGAAAGGAACTGAAAGCTGGGGCCTTGATTCCTGATCCTGCTCTGCCTATAAAAAAAACAGGTTGCTTCATGGTGTGGTGTTTGTGTGAGAACATGAAGGGAGTTCTCTATGGCATTCAGAGCAAATATCTACCATGTAGAGCCTTCTGCCACTTGCTATTTCTTCATTTGTAGCTGTGCCTGTGGATGCTGTGAGTTTGTGTTCTCAAACCACATCATGCAATGGGCCCCTATGCCTCCGCTTTTACTGCTACTGCGTGGCTGGGGTCTATCCTAGACTTCCTTGCTTTAGTGTGCAATCTTGAAGTGCCTTCAGCGGAGGGTCACAAAAATTATCCAAGGGATGGAATAGCTCCTCTATGAGGACAGGCTGAGAGAGCAGGGGCTGTTCAGCCTGGAGAAGGCTCTAGGGAAGCCTTGTATGGCCTTTCAGTATCTAAAAAGGGGCTGTAAGAAAAAAGGGGACAGAACCTTCAGCAGGGTTTGCCGTGATAGAAGAAGGGGAAACAGTTTCAAATTAAAAGAGGGAAGATTCAGATTGGATATGACACAAGTTTTTTATGGTAAGAGTAGTGTAGCACTGGAACAGATAGTGGTGGATGCCCCATCCTTGGAAACATTCAAGGACAGGCTGGATGGGGCTATGAGTAACCTGATGTAGCTGCAGATGTCCCTGTTCATTGCAGGAGAGTTGAACTAGATGACATTTGAAGGTCCTTTCTAACTCAGATATTTCTGTGATTCCTGGGACTATGTGCCAGAATTCCTACGCTATCAGAAATCTGTTTGCAAGGTTTAGCTGTAAGGACTCAGCACAGGTATTTTGCCAGACATGGTTCAAGATTTCTAAGCTTAAACTGTGGTGCTGCCTGTGCATGAATGAATGAGCAGGTAAATGTAAACTGGCCAACAGCGTGCACAACATGGTTGTGTTCTTTGATAACACGTGGAGTAGACTACTCTTCCACTTATGTTGATAACAGAGTTATGATCTACATAGAAGTTAACCAGAATTTCACAGTCACAGGGTTGAGTCTTGGCTTTGTCCGCATCCCTTCAGCCCCTCCGCGCCCTTTGTAGTTCTCCTTTGCAGACAGATCTATTTGTTCTACAGCCTCTCAGCTTCCCTTTGTGGTCTTTGGATGATTTTTGGACAATTTTAATGGTAACTTGAGTATGAGTCTAGAAAATTCACCTTACTGGACAGCAAACACCACCATCCTGACAAATATGCATCAGGTGTTCAGAAATGGCTATTGCAGAAGAAGAACCCTGTCCTTAACAGTGTGATTTGAAAGAAGTGGTGAGCATTATCCAGTTTGAGAAGGTGCCCTATAAGCAAAACAGTGACTGTTGACTACTAGGGGAAGGAATCTACGCTCTTTGGGTAAGATTGGTCAGTTTTCTGTAAATAGATGACTATGAAGGCAAACTATGAAGTCTCCTTGTATTGTAATTTTGGACATATTGAAATCACTGAGAACAACATCATCTGAATGTCTAAGACTGGTGTTCTGACACTTTTTGTGGAAATCCATCCATATCTGATCAAACATCTTAGAGTGCTGATAAATCCTAACCTAACTTCAGCTTGCTTTGAGGGCTGTTCTGTGTCATCTCATCTGTGTTGCCACCAGGATGGACTGAATGAACAAAAGTATAAAGAAATGCAGAGCCACATAGAGAAGATTGAATAAGGATGTGAGGAGGCACTGGATTCCTCTCAATTACCTTGCTGCGTGCTCCAGCAATTTTTTTGAAAGAAATGAGAGTTGCAAGAATGTTGCTTTAGAAGCCAAGACTTAAAAAGCATGGATGCCCAGTCTAACTCCAAGGTGCTGGCAGAAAGGCTGTTTGACTAAAGGGAGGTAGAGAAGATTGGGGTCTGCCCTAATGGTTCTTTCTGAACGAGAAGGCAAAACTGGGCAGGAGGAGATGATCCTGGAACTTGATACATAGGGTTGAATGGATAAGTGTTGGAAACATATCACGGGGATCTTCGTGTTTCCTTTGCTGAATGACGTACGTATGTCTAAAAGTCCCTTTTCAGAAGGGGTTTTATGTTGCTTATTATGTTATCAAAAATGGGAGTAGTGAACAAGAGTTCCCCAGCTTTGAGGGAAATCTGGAAGGTGTGTGTTACCAGCAGAGGCTTCACAGAACCAGTGCTAGTTTCACTTGGTAGTGCAAGCCCCTTTTGGTAGCATATAACATCTGTATGTGGCTAAGGAATCGAGGGGATGTATTTTAAAATTCTCATCCTAGGCCTTTGTACACAGACTCAACTCCTGAAGTTCAGGCATATGCAGCACTAAAAAGTCAGGGTCTTGGGTAGGGCTCACTTGTAATGGTGTTGTGTCAGAATGGGAAGCATCGTCTTGCTCATAAAGCTCCTCATCACACCTTCATATCAAGGCACTTGCAGAGAGGGTCTGCTGAGATTACTGTATTGCACCGTGGTAATGTGTTTGCAGTCTGCATGCCTGTGACTTAGCCTTTTTAAACCTGGGGGGAGTAGGCAAGTTAACTCTGAAGTGGGGTTGTGAATTGAGTTTGAAACTCTCCAACAGAAGGGGTCATTAAATAGAGTGGATCTCTTGAATACTGGTGCAGGTAGCGTAGGAAGAAGCAGTCCATTTTTGTCATTTAAAATAATTTTTTGACAGGTTTCCTTATAGTCGTTGAAGTGCATGCACTATGTATATATTTTTATGTCTGTTTAGAGTTAGGTTTCTTTAGTGCTCACGCTTTTACATTTCTGTTGGCTGAGTGTTTTCAGTATTGTCTGTGGCTGCGGGCCAGAGTTCAGTTCTGAGCCTCATGTGGAGAAGTGCCTAGTGATGGTGGGTCATCTCTCCAGTGCTTCATAAGAAATGATTGCTGTATGTTTCCTGTTTCGTTCTTCCTTGCATCTTACTGCTTCTTCCCTTTGTACTGAGGAAGTCTTTTCTTTAGAGGAACCCCGAGAATTTCCTTCAGTGTGTCTTCAGATGTCTGAAGTGTGATCCCCATCCCTCCACCTATCAATCATAAACTTGCAAGTTGGACAAAAATGCCTTTGCTTCTGGTTTGGTTATGCCTTTTGTCCAAATCCCATTCAGAGGTTCCATTTTCCAGGGTCCACAAACGTTGTTTAGATGCACATGATGAATGCTTTCTGGATCTCTGGTCAAGATTTATCCAAAAACGGGGAGTTCTGCAATAGCACTCCAAATCCCTTTCCCTGGGAGACAGTGAGTGGCTGTGTTGTGTGTGGAGACTGTAGAGGGATCTACACATCATCCAGCACTGCAGGTCAAGTGTTAGCAGAATTGTTGAGGAGAAGAGGAAAAAGAAACTGCTGGTTTCTTCCCT